TCTTCTTCTTCTTCTTCTTCTTCTTCTTTGTGAGATAGACCCTTGCACAGCTGTTTATGATTAGATTTCAGTCATACAGTGTTTCTAACATCAGGGATCATTCTTGATGTGCTCAGGTGACCATATGCAATGCCTGGAATCAAACCAGGGTTGGCCACATGCATGGCAAATACCTTAACCCCTGTATTATCTGTATCATCTCTCCAGCTCCAAAGCATACTTCCTTTGCTCTGTTTGCCTGCTCCCTTCTTTTTTTCCCACTGTTTACAATTTTTTAAATTTGAGTCACACCCAGATATACTCAGAGTTATTCTTGCTTTGTTCTTTTTTTTTTTTTTTAGTGAAACACCATGAGGTACAGTTGTAGACTTACAAACTTTCGTACTTGGGTTTCAGTTATACAATGCTTGAGTACCCATCCCTCCAACCAGTGCCCATTCTCCACCATCAATGATCCCAGTAGCCCTCCCACCCACCCACCCCATTCCTCCCCCACCCCACCCTGCCTCTGTGGCAGGGCATTCCCTTTTGCTCACTCTTTCCTTTAGGGTGTTGTAGTTAGCAATAGAGATATTGAGTAGCCATTGCATTCAGTCTGTAGTCCACTTTCAGCACACATCTCGCATCTCGAGCGAGTCCTCTAAACATCCTTTACTTGGTGTTCCCTTCTCTAGTTGAGCTGCCTTTTCCCCCAGCATGTGCTGCCAGTTTCCAGGCCATGGGTCTATTCCTTTCTTTAGGAGAATTCACCCCGTGATTTGATGGGAAACTCCCAGTCAGAAGAGGGTCCCAACCACAAGAACGGGCCTAGAACATTGCCTGAGCCCATCTCAGGGTCTCTCGCCCTTCTGGATGAATTAACTGAGCCCATAGAGTGAGAAAATAACAAAAGACATCAAATCAGGAGCCCAAGAAAGCAAGTGGGAAAGGTGATTGCCACATGTACAACCTACTAGGGTTCAAGGTTGGTAGCTCATAGGGTCCCTGGAGCACTGCCAGGCAGAAGCCCTGAGGACCACTAGGTGTGATCTCTGAGCACAGAGAGGGTTAAGTCCTCAGCACCACCCGGTGTGGTCACAAACCAAAAACAAACAAGCAAACAAATAAACAAATCCTGCTGAGTTCCCCGGCTGAAGTCTGAAATCACCAAGGTTTTTCCCACAGAGCTTGGCTGTGGGAAGTCGCAGAGACCAGCATCAATGATAATCGGGCAGCAAGAGCTCAGGCGCTGCCCCTCTCCACCCCCCTTCTACAGGGCAGTGCTCTGAGGGAGGATTTTCCCTCCGGGTTCTTCAGCCAGTCGGAGTGGGTTGCTCAAGTCTGCCGGGACTCACTGAGTGTGGTGCTCAGACAGCCTCTTTCAGCCCACAGGGGCTGCAAGCTGTTCTGGGACAGACAGAGGTCACCATGCAAGGTGCAAAAAATAAGCTGAGTTGGAACAAGCAGCAGAGGAAACCCGTGAAGCCCCCACACTCCCACTCCCTGCTGGAAACTCAACCACCATGAGCAGATAGGGGAGACGGTGGATAGTGAAATAGCAGGTGGTGTGACCCACCGTTGTCACCACTGAGACCAGCATCTGCCACCTTCTCTGTGTGTGCATCTGGTGCATCCCTGAAACTTCCTCCTATTCTAGCGGTGTGGCTGCAGGTGGGCCCTAATCACGCTTGTGAGTTTAGGTTCCACTGAGAAGGTGGAGGACCCAAAGGCTGAGGATGTTGGAGACACTTTTCCTCAGAAGGCTAGGGAGAAGAGAACCAGACCTAGGGCTCCTGGAAGGGGGATTGTTTCAGCTGAAGTGCATCCAGGTAATGGCCTCCCACCATGGCTGAACTGGTGTAAGAATTATCTAGAACCAATGCACCTGAGGGGGACAGAATTCCAACTTTATTTTCCTGAATTGACTTCTGCCGAGAAGTTGAATCCTGGTCTCTACAGAAGCACTAATGAAAAAAAAATGTGGCTTAGCAAGACGAATGAAGAGGAGCTAGGAGACACAAATCAAATGGGAGAATATAGGTCTGGCCTATGTGAGGCATGAGGCCCTGAGTTCAATTCCTATGTAGAATGACCGCCTGGCCCCTGCACTGCCAATGTGGCCACTACAGAACAAAGGAGAAGAGGAAGAAAACTGAGAATATGTTTCCATGAGAGCGTGATAGCAACCTAATGCCAGTGGCTAAGCTGGCAAACACCCTCACACATGCATTGTGAGGTGCTGAAAGAGACTCCTTTTTGCAAGAGAGAGAAAATCATCACATGTCCATCCATAGAAGGCGAGGAATGAACCAGGAGTGAGCCATGCTGTGGCTAACAGCGTACTGAGTGCTTAGATGAGAATGATAAAGAATTAAGCATCCTACAGAAAGATCTCCAAGGTCTCTTAGTAAGTGAAATAATAGCAAATAATGGCCAGGTGCCAAACTGTTTACAGCATGCTGCTTTCCACGTAAGGAAAAGATGAAAATGAGGAGTATTTATATGTGCTTGGATTTCATAAAGAAACACTGCAAAGCGCTTTTTAGAACTGGTGGCGGGGCTGCAAGCAGAGTAGACGGAGCCGAGGCCATGGCCTGCAGCGTATCCTTCAGTTTCCTTCTTTCTGAACGGTGCATATTTAAAAGTGATCATAAAAGAGTAGCAACACGCACCTATGAGAAACACGGCACCTTCTTCACAGAGATCCACAGTCAAGAAATAATTTTTTTGAAAACGAGAGAAGCATGCGTTAATAATGTTGGATTCTGAGCAGCCAAGAAGACACTGAACAAACGTGACTCCAAATCACACCCTCATCCCGAGAGTCCTGCATGATACCACCTTGTTTCCTATGTATGCACATGTGCACATGTGTGTACATGCATGCGTGTGTATGTGTGTGCGTATGTGTGTGCGTGCACATGAGTGTGCGTGCACATGAGTGTGTGTCTGTGTGTGTCCGTGTGTCTTTGTGTGTGCTGGGTAAGGAACCTCTCCTCTTAGATTCACTATATCCTCCACGTTCAGAGCTAGACTCAGTGCAAATTCCCCAAGCTTCTCTGGTTGTTGAGACTCAGCTAAGACCATTGCACTGTGTCATGTGTCCAGCATTCGCTTTTCTACTTACAGAAGCTCCTTGGGGTCAGCTAGCACTCAGGCTCAGTGTCCTTCAGGAAACCCCGTCTGCTCTATTCATTAACACAGAAACCAGATTGTTCCAGGGCACCCTCCACGGGGCACCAGTGCTAGCATGGTGAGTGCCTCCCCTAGCTCACTGCCCCACTAGTTAGCTGTGAGGTGAGCTGCATTCTGGGGTTTCCTGGGTTCTTTTCCTGCAGCTGACTCATGGAGTAATACCCACTCCCTGGGCCAGTCTCTGTGAAAACACCCTTTTCTTCTTGCTTATGACTATCCCAAGGCAGATCAGCCCAAATGGATCCCTTCAAAGATATTTATTAACTAGCTGTCCAAAAGTTAAAACATCTGTAACAAGAAACTGCTAAAGCGTACCTTCGGACTTGAGTTTCCCCAAGACACATGCTAACCCAGGCTCAACATCCAGCTCATTCCAAAAGGCCTGGCACACTCACTTACCCAGAACAGGTAAAGGTCAGTACATGCCCCCATGGGTCCTGCAAAGGCCAATGACATAGAGACTGATGCTTTCTAAGAACTGGGGCACACAGTCCTATGGGGGACCCCAAATCAAGCGGGGTGCTTGACAGTCACTCCATGAACTCCAGCTAAGGGATATTTGCGACATGTGGGAACAGAATATTTAAATGAAACGCCCATGGTTTTCAAAACCATAAAGATTTCCAGTAAGCTGGAGGGAGTAGGCCTTCCAGTGTGGAATAAGAAAGGAAAGGAGGGGCTGGAGGGATTGTATATTGGGTAGGGCACTTGCCTTGCACAGAGTCAACCTGGGATCAACACTCCAGCATCCCTCTCAGCCTTGAGCACTGCCATGTATGGCCCAAAAACAAAAACAAGAAAAGGAGAGAAAATCTTCTTAGAGGGGTCCTTGAGCAGGAAAAGATGCCAAGGTTTTGTTGTTACAGGGATTTCACCAAGTAGAATTTGCTTCCTCAATGGCCACTCATTCTGTCACTGGAGTCCAGTGAATCCCGCCCAGGGCCACCTTGTCTCATAAAAGGTTTTGTCCAATTGAAGGCAGAAATTCATATGTGAGGCTCAAGGATCAGGTGGGCTTATGAGATCAGCAAAGCTAAGCTGCTATCAAGGAAAACCTCCATTTCTGACACTTGAGACCAGAACTTACAAAAGCAAATAAATTATTGTCTAAGCTTAACAGCACCTGATTTGAAGGGAATACAAAAGGTTGGGAAATGAAGGTTGTTAATTCCAGAATCCTAGGCCTAGTTTAGAAAACTAACATTCTTATTTTCTTAGTAATTAAAAAAACATGTGTTAGGACAGTCTAGAAGGGTCAGAAATATGACATGGTCCACTGCCCCCCATGGCCCCCATAAGACAAATTATATCCACCTAAAGGTAAATACTAACCAAGCAGAGCACTGCTTGGCTATTTCTGATATGTCTATAATCCTGGCTCTCTAATCTTGCATCGGAAGCATTGAACCCCTCTTGTTAGTAGAAACCAAGAGAGTTCCTACATTCTAGACCCACCGTGAAGAATATAGACTGGAGAAGTAGTTCAGGGAATAAGGCATTTGCATCAATCCTGGTTTGATACTCCATAACTCATGTTGTGTTTGACCCTAACCTTGACCATGAGCACAAAGCCAGGAGTGACCCCTGAGCAAAGAGCCAAGAGTAAGCTCTGAACACTGCTGTGTGTGCACCCCCACCTTGAAAAAACAAAAAGTATACAGATGGAAAACAGAGATCCATCTGGCTAAATCGTGGACATAACTTAATTGTTCAACTCTAACAGCTTCCTTCATCTGACATTATTCATCACACACACACACACACACACACACACACACACACACACACACACTCCAAAACAAACAGGACCCTCTCCAATTACTCACCAAGACCGCCCTGGCAAATGTCTGTGCGTGTGGCTCCACCAACAATAAACTCGGGGCTGGAGCATAATTCCTGAAAGTCACAGAGAAAAAAAAACACAAGTCACAAGGTGCCCAACAGCAGGAGTGAAGGCTCCTTAGGGGCATGGAATTCAAAGCCGGGGGCCACCTAGGGTGACTTATTGAGCAGGCATTAGGGATGACTGAGGAAGCCCAGAGGAGGAGACCCTCCCCCATCACAGAAACACTGGGGGTTTGGTATAGGACACAGAGCAGTGACCACAGCCTGCCACAGCCCTATCACTAGGCACACTGTGTGGGTGTGTGGTGTGAAAGAGTGGAAGGGTGTGGGGGAGGCAGGAGAAAGATCAAGGCTGGGGCTTCATGCCCATTCAGACCATGGGCCTATTACAGTGTTCTGTGCTTTGTGGACACTCATTAAATCCAGGACCCAATAATGCTAGGGCCCCAGGGGGCAATGGTCAGGAAGAAGTCTATCCAGGAGACCAGCTCTGGGTCAGAATCCCCTTCCTGGTCCATCTGTCTTTCCACCACTTACCCTTTTCATCTGGCATCAGCCTCCCAGACCACCCCTCACTGGAATCCCAGGCACTCTGGGGCTCCAACCGAGGCAAAGTGGGGCCTCTCTTGATCCCATCTGTCTGCTGGGCGAAGCTTAATTAAGGGTCTATTTTAAGCAATTCTAGATGTCCCAGGGGAGCAAAGTGAAATGAAGGTAGAGAAAACACCCCTGTTCTTGACCTCCAAGAGCCCAGTCTCTGTAGGAAGCTGAGACTAAGTTTCCTGAGAAGTCCAAGGCAAGGTCCGGTGCATGAGAGTGGCAGGCAAACTATACACACACACACACACACACACACACACACACACTCATGCATGCACACCCCACCCCAGAGTCTGTGCTCTCAGATTTCCCTCTCAGCTACTTTTCTTTCCTCACTCCGCTCTTCCTCCTCAGCACCCTGAATACTCCTTCTCCTTCTCAGTCTCTTCCAAGAGTTCCTCATCCCTGCTAATTCCTAAGAATCAGGAACCCCTGGGCCTGGCCCTTGGCTCTCAGCAATGATTCCATTTCATACAGCAATAATCTGCCCTATACATTCTCTCCTGGTGACATCAGTCCAACTTTAAGTACTGCTTAAAATGCTTTAAGTACCAGCTTTAAGTACTGGCTACAGAATACAATGATAGCTCCTAAAGCACTCCCCTGAGCTGTATATTCAATTACCCCAGTCACACTGTTCATGTCATAATGAGCTCATTAGACACAGAGTTAAGAAGTTGACCCAGTTCTGGTACAGTTTTGAGTTTGGTTTGGAAGACTGGGTGATTCGCAGAGGCCAGAGACCATTTAAGGTGTTCTCACCACAATCGTGCTAAGTGGTTCATAGGTAGGTGGAGTGTTTGTTTTCCCACAGGATATTCAGGAAATTTATTAGCACGATTTAAAATGTCCCCACCCCAAGAAAAAACAACCAAGAGATGTCATGGTTGTATGACTCTTTTTGAGGCCACAGAAAGGAAATTGCAGCTCAGGGTGAGTGCTGAAGAACTTTCCCCAAGTCTGCTCTACATAGCCAACTCCCTGTTGGGATTCAGAGTAGAGACTGAAAGTTGTCCAGTCCCTGAGATGGTTTCCAAGATGCGAACCAACCCGGAGGCTCCCACATCCCTCGGTGTTTGTTTTGCTTTCTTTTCGTGACGTATTCGATATGCCAAACACAGTAACAACAAAGTCTCCAATGGAGACGTTACTGGGCCCGCTCAAGCAAATCGATGATCACCGGGAGGGCCTTCTTTTGTTGTTTTGGGAGCCTCCCAAGAAGCACTTATGAGGCCCAAAGGCTCACATCAGAGATTTTCTGGCAGCTTGGCTGTTGGTGGTGCAGTGCAAGGGCCTATGGATTTGATGCTGCTCAGGCCCTACAGTGTCCAGAATACCAGGGCCAGCCCAGCTTGGTAATACTTAATGAATGAACCATGTCACGGTCACGGTCTTCTCGTTGTTCACCAATTTGCTCGAGCAGGTCCAGTAACGTCTCCATCGTGAGACTTGTTGTTACTGTGTTTGGCATATTGAATACGTCACGGGGAGCTTGCCAGGCTTTGCCGTGCAGGCAAGCTACTCTCTGTAGCTTGCCGGGCTCTCTGAGAGGGGCGGAGGAACCGAACTCGGGTCGGCCATGTTGGCTGCGTGCAAGGCAAACGCCCTACCCGCTGTGCTATCACTCCAGCCCAATGAACCATGTGGTGGCAGGAATCAAACCCAGGTGTTGTGTGAACACCAGACATGTGCCCTAACCCTGTCCTATCTCTGGCCCCACCTCCCACAGTCTAAACATGATTTTTTTTTCTTCCTTAGATAACTATCATGGCTTTTTAGCCATAAAGTATATTCTTACTCAGGTAAGGATCTTAACACATCCCATAAACTTGGCCTGCCACTCAAGCCTCATTTCAACTCTAATGAATGGGCAGAAGGGAAACAAAGTGTCTGTAGGAATACAGACTGGGAAGTGAGTCAAGTCACAGATTCTCAGTGACAATGGCCACTTGGAAATGTCACTGCTCAGGACGCTGGAGCATGTCCATGAGTCCTGGCCTGTTATTTCAGGAACTGCGACTGTGTGCTTTTGGGAAACTCATCTTCTTCCTCCCCATCAGTGTGGCTCATGGACACGTGAGCTGTCCGAGCTATCCAGTGTTCCTGACCTCCTCCCTTGCCTTTTCCCGTCAACTCTCTACTTCCCACAATGCTTTCTCTCCACGAATCCTGGTGGATTGCTGCCTTCTAATCCACATGCTCTGAATTGACTTCCATCATCAGCGTCTGTGCTCATACGCAGGCCTTCTTGGTCTCTGTCCCCATCAGCTTCTTCCACCACCACCTCCCCACCTGGGCAGGTGCCGGGCGCCAATGCTATAACCCACTTTAACTGCTTCTTCCCCTGAACTCCCATACGTCTTACTCGCGATTCTATTTCACGCTCTGGATAGTCTGTCTTGAAGTAATAGATAGAGGGCCAGGGAGAGAGCTCTAAGGGCTGGAGCACAAGCTCTTTGGTTCAGTTATAAGTGGTCCCTGAGAATTGTCAGGAGTAGACCCTACACACAACCAGGTGTGGCCCCAAAACAAAAAATAATAATTTGAAAATAGACATGCCAGGGCCAGAGAGATACAGAAGATGAGGCACTTGCCTAGCGTGCTGCTGTGATGGTGAGGATCCTGGTTCATGTTTTTTTTAATTTTAGTTTGCTTTTTGGTCATGCCTGGAGATACACAGGGGTTACTCCTGGCTCTGCACTCAGGAATTACTCCTGGTGGTGCTCAGGGGATGCTGGGAATTGAACCCAGGTTGGCCGCGTGCAAGGCAAACATCCTACCCACTGTGTTATCACTCCAGCCCCTCTTGGTTCAAATCCTTGGCACTGCGTATGGACCCTGAGCCCTGCCAGGGGTCACTCATGAGCACAAAGCCAGGAATGGCTCCTCAGTACCACCTGTATGATCCCAGATTTTTTTTATTTTTTAAATAATAGTCACTTCATTCTGTCTGGAGTTGCTCACATTTCAACTCAGGGTACATAATTTCTCTTCATTGCTTAATGCATAATTTAATTGCATCATTTCTCTTCATTACTTATTGCTCTTTCCTACATTGCTTGTTTATACTTTCCAAAATAAAACTATTTTATATCAAAATAATAATAACTAGAGAAAGCTTCTATAATCAAGCCTTTAAAATGTGTCAGACATCGGGGACTGAGCGATAGTACAGCAGGTAGGGAGCTTGCCTTGCATGTGACCTGCCCAGGTTTGACCCTTGGTACCTCATATGATCCCCCGAGCCTACTAGGAGTGATCCCTGCATGTAAAGTCAGGAGTAAGACCTGAACACTTCCAGGTGTGCCCCAACCCCCCTTGCACTGTCTGCACTGTACTGTCCTCATGTTGCTCATCGATTTGCTCGAGTGGGCACCAGTAACGTCTCTATTGTGAGACTTGTTACTGTTTTTGGCATATCAAACATGTCACGGATAGCTTGCCAGGCTCTGCCGTGTGGGCAGGATACTCTCGATAGCTTGTCAGGCTCTCCGAGTGGGACAGAGGAATCAACTCGGGTTGGCCGCGTGCAAGGAAAACGCTCTACTGGCTGTGTTATCACTCCAGCACATCCTCCCCATAAAATAAAATAAATATAAAATGTGTCAGGTGAAAAGATGGAAGGGTAGAACAGAGGGTAGGGCACTTGCACATGACTTGGATTCAATCCCCAGCACCACGTACAGGCTGCTGGGCAGAGAGTACCACCAGTGTGGCCCAAAAAACAAAAACTAAAATAAAATAAATTAAAATAAAATGTTCCAGGCGAGCACAGCTACTGTATCCCAAACTCCCCCTTCTCTCCTCAAATAAAATAAAATAAAATGTGCCAGAAACTGAGCTAAACCCATTTTCTCATCTAAGCCTCCCAATAATACAATGAAGTAAGTGATATTATTTCCATTTTATGGATAAGGAAACTAAGTCTTGGGGAAGTGAGTTATTGTGAATAGACAGTTTAAAAATAACAAAACCAGAACCCTAATCTACTTGACATCCAAATGGAAATTCTTCACCACTTAGCAGCTGAATTTGTCCAGTGCCCTCTCTCCCCTATCAACTAACATGCCACAAGGTCCCCCTTTGGCATCTGCTGGTGCCCTCAATAAGTCAATTTAATTGAACATTCCAAATTAATTCATCCAGCCAGGAGACAGGAGCATGGAAATTCATCATTGAGGCTTCACTGTTCAGCCTTGTGTGTGTGATGCCAGGGATGGTACCCAGGGCCTTTTAGATGCCACCCTGGTCTCTCTCACACTTCATCCCCACCCCAAAATGTCAACAATTCAGTCCCTGGTGTTCCCTGAGTAGCCTGTTTTGTGGATGAAGCTGACCTTGCCCACCCTCTCTCTCCTCTCTTTGCACTTCTCCTGAAGATCAATAAACTTCTTAATTGCTCAAAAATGAACCGATAAGGAGATTGTTGGCTGGGTTGCATTCAGCAGGCACATAGTTGGCATCAAACCACAGGAGAGTTGACTGAGCATTGACCAAGCTTCGTGGGGAACCAGGAGACCAGAGTGTGGAGAAGTCAGTGCTGAGAATCCTTCTTGACCTCAACAGCCCAAATGTTTTGTGATGAATTGCTGCTTGGTCCAACATTTGGAAGGGTAGCAAAGGGTAAAATGCCTTGGGATTTTGAAAAGCCAAAAATATATTCCAAGAACCCATGCTTACTTCAAGATCTTCAATCAGGGCAAACTTCCTTCTTAACTCTTCAAACACAGGTCCCAACAAATCTTTTGCTTAGTAGCTCAAAAATGGGAAGAAATAGGTGACAGGGGCAGCATGTCTTATTTCTGTTATTGTAGAAAACATGCATAACTAAAGCTTTATTGTTAAGAGGGAAAAACCATATATCCATCTCATCTCCTTTCTGGAAAAGCAAATGAAAATCAACACCTCTTTAGTCAGTCATGTCAGGGCAGCTGGCTTAAAGACCACAGATTGAAGTAAGCAAGGAATCACCCTCAAAAAGCCAACAACTACCTTAAAAATGGCAAAGAAAACAGAGAGATAGTGCAACATGTAGGATGCTTGCCTTGCATGAGGCCCACCCAGGTTTGATCCCTGGCAATACATAGAGTCCCCTGAGCATCACCAGGACTTATCCCTGAGCACAGAGCCAAGAGTAAGCCCTAAGCACTACCAGGCATAGCCCATCACCCCCCAAAAATAGTAAATAACAATTTTTAAATGGGCAAACTGTCCAGGGAGATCAGTGACAAAGTGCGTTCCTTGCAGGGGTGAGGAGCTAGGTTTAATCCCTAGCACTACTATTAATTAATTAAATGGGAAATTTTATTTGTCATTTCTTCAGATAAGATCTACAGATATGCAGGGGCTGGAAAGATAGTACAGCAAGTAGGATGCTTGCCTTGAACATGGCCAACCCAGGTTAATCCCTGACACACTGTTTGATCCCTGAGCCAATCGGAAGGGATTCTTGAACACAGAGCCAAAACTAAACCTTAAGTACAGCTGGCTCTGGCCACAAAACAAAATGAAACAAAATATATAGATACAGTCAGTACATAAAAATTATTCAACACCACTCATAATTAGAAAAATGCACATTATCGGCATAATGAATTGCCACCTCCCCATCAGTAGGATGACTACTATCAAAAACAAAAACAGAAACAAATGTTGCAAGGATGTGGAGAGACAGGAGGCCTGGTGCACTGTTGATGGGAATGTAAATTGGTGCAGCCTTTTTGGAAATCAGGAGGTGCTTCAATAAATCAAAAATAGAACTACAGCGATCCAACAATCCCACATCTGGATTTACACCCAAAAGAATTGAAATCAAAGTCTCAAAGAGCTATCTGTACAGCCTTGGTCATGGAAGCATGAACCATATTATCCAGAAAGTAGAAGCATTTCGGTCCTCTGATGAATGAATAGGCACTTTAAATGTGGATCACTCTCCTTCCGCTTTATATTAAGGAGGCCAGAGACACAGAGGAGGGGTGGCTATGAATGCAAAGGTTTCCTCCTGTTTTGAATGTGTGAGTTGGTAAAATAAGCAAACAAACAACCTTGGAGAATCTGTCTTGGATTTATATTGTTAGGTTAAACAATTCTACAGACCTTAACAGCAAAGTAATTTTATTCTTATGAATACCCAAGAACAATTTTAATAACTGAGAACCTGGAGGCACCAAAAGAATGGAGCCCAGACCAAACAGATAGCGTGGTGGGCTAGAGTGTTTGCTTTTATGGATTTAATTCCCAATCCTCTGAGCTCCTCCTAGAGAAACCCCACTGAGCAAAAGGTTAAAAGTAGGCCCCAAACCCCTAGATGTGGCCATAAAGAAAAAAAATGGCATCTATGATTGTGGCAATGATAAACCCAAACCAGCCCAGACTCTAAAGAGAAGGAAGTTGTTACTTGAAATCAAACTCTCAAAGTCTGCAAAAAATCCACCCATTAATAACACTGCAGTGAAAAGGAAGGGCTGTGTATTAGTAGCAGGTATTAATAAATGAATATTAGTAAGAGATAATTGCTTCCAGAAAACAAATCTCAGAGAGCTAGTTATAAGAGACAGTTTTCTCTACAGTATAAACAAAACATAGTATTTTAGATATATATGAAAGCAAGTTAAACAGAATAAAAAAGCATATATGATAAGAACAAAAATGTGTCTTTTTATGCAGTTGGATTTAATCAGCCATTATAAAGAAAATATCTTGGCACCTAGTGATGGTGTAGTGGCATAAAGCACCTTTCTTGCAGTGTCTGCTTGATAGGTAGGCGCTCTGGGTTTGATTCCCAGCACCATATAATCCTCAGATCACTGCCAAGTGTGAACCCCAAAAAGTAATTTCAAGGAAAAAGAAAAAATTAGGCAAAGGTTAGCTGATATTTGACATCAGTCACAAACTGCAATCTCAAACCCATTTCCACCCCCCTCCCCACTCATCTACTTAGAATCTCTCAGTTCCTTTAGAATGTGTCCTCTGCCCTGACATCCCCTTTCCAATGGCCCATCTTTCTGCCTCTTTGGGCTTCCTTCTGCCCTAGAAGTCTGTCCTTCAGTCATTGACTCCTCACAATCTCTATCAAGGTTGGGACCACACTCATTCCTAAGGTTCCATCCCCAGCAACTATATGATCCTTTGTGCCCCTCCAGAAGTGATCCCTGAGCAGAGAGCCAGAAGTAAGTCCTGAGCAATGTCAGGTGTAGCCCAAAGAAAAAAGGAAGACAAAAGGGGGGAACAAGCTAGAACCAAATGGTTTTGATCATTTCCAATAATCTTGTCTCTCCTTGGTCCTCTTTTCTAACCTCTGCCAATAAAATAGGCCTTTGGGCTCAGTTTCCCCCTTGAGGTCTAGAAGACAAAAGTCCAAGGGTCTTCGGAGATTGTGCTGTCTACGGAGACTGATACTCCATCCTTCAACTTTGGAGGGCATTTGTGAGGCTTGCAGGAGCCCCAACTGGTTCTGAATTCACAGATCCACACCCCCCCACCCTCCACAAATCAGCTTCAAGGAGACAATGACCATGAGGGACCCCAGGCAGCGTGGCACCTCTCAGCAGTGATGTCACTATGAACTGACTGCAGAGAGCCTTGATTTGTTCCATGTGTCGCGGCCCCTGCATTCGCCTCCCTGCATTTTTGTGTGCTGTGTGCTTGAGTTTCTGCTTTTTTTGGGGGGTGGTTGTTGAAAGTCACACTCAGCGGTGCTGAGAAGTGACCCCCTGGCAGTGTTCCAGGGACCATATGCACAACCGGTAATTCAAATCTGGATTGTGGCTGCCACAAGTGCATGCCAGACGAGTGCCTTCCCTCCTACGCTATATCTCCAGCCCCTGTGCTTGAGTTTTCTTTCCCATCCTTATAACCACCCCAAAGGATGAAGCGCTACTAGCCCCGTTTTCCCAGCTGAACAAATCTGAGACATGGTCTGGCTCTGAAGCCCAAGCTCATGCCCCTAGTCCTCATGGTTTCTAAAGCCAGTGCTGAAAAGGAGAGAGACTCATGAATTATACTACCAAGTTCTTTTCAAAGAAACCCCGACTTCTCCCCTTTAACCAGACACTTAGGCTTCCTGTGAGGTGACACCCCAGCCCAATACCCCATCTTCTTACCGTGGGTCGCTTCCAGACAATGCCTTGAGTCTGGGGGGAGTGTGGGCCCAAATCCTTGTAGCCTAAGGCTGACGGGCAGGCGGGGAACTCTGGGTCTTTAAACAGAACCCCCGAGTCCAAGCACTCTTGCCGTAGGGTCTCAAAGTCCTGGCCCAAGTACTTCACAGCATGTTGGTTGGAGCCCAGGCCTTCCGCCACTGCCCGCTGCTTGGCCACTTGTGCTGCCAGGCCTGCCATGGCCACCGCTCTGCAGGGAACGGAGCTGTCTCAGACCTCTGACCCCTGGGAGGGCTGAATAAGGTGGCATGGGAGGAAGGAGGAGCAGCTCGATATTCACCCAGGGCCCGAGGCCTGACTCTGAAGGGAAGTGAATCAGATGGGGAACAAATATGTACCCAGCGTGCAAATAAGCCTGCCCCACCTCCCTTACTCTCTGCCTCCCGAGCCCCACCCTAGCCATTAGCCCAAGAAATCCATCAAGATCACAAGTCACCGGCAGGCCACCTCTTTGCCAGACCTGCTCCTCTTCCCTGAGGCCCAGACAGGGGCTGAGTTCAGACCAGTCTTGCAACTTGAGGCTAGGATTTAGCAAGCAAGTCGGCCAGGGGTTCTGAGCAGGAGAGGAGGGTTGAACGAGGTCACCTTTTCCTCCTGGACAGTTCGAGTGACAGACACTCAGAGGGCAGGGCTGTCCTCTGTCTGACTGGAGACTTGCCACCTAAGAAAGGTGGTACCTTGCTCTGGATTTCTGTGCCAGCTTCACTGATCATTAGCTCTGCCCCCTTCAGCAAGATTTTTTTTTTAATTTTAATTGAATCACTGTAAGGTACACAGTTACAAAGTTGTTTATGATTTTCAGTCATACAGTGTTCCAACATCCTTCCCCTCACCAGTGCACATTTCCCACCATCCATGTCCCCTTTTCCCTCCGGCCCCGCTTCTGCTCATCCCGTCCACACAGCCTGCCTCTATGGCAGACACTTTTCTTCTCTCTTTTCTTATTTTCTGTTTAGACGTTGTGGTTTGCAATACTGTTCCTGAAAGGGTATTATGCATAAGACTTTACCTCCTTTCAGCATTCAGTTTTTGTCCAGAGTGGATATTTCCAACTATAGCTGTCGTATTGGTCTCTTCTCTGTCCTAACTGCACTCTCTCTTCCCCTTAGTGGCAAGCTTCCTAACATGTACCCATCCTCCTGGCCTTGTTTCTATTCTCTTTGGGTATTATTCACAGACAATATATGTATATTGAGTGTAATCATTCTATGTCTGACCCTCTCCCTCTAAATCATTTCACTCAGCATGATACTCTCCATGCCTATTCATGTATAAGCGAATTTCATGACTTTGTTTTTCTAACAGCTAGATGATATTCCATAGAGTCGATGTACCACAGTTTCTTTATCCATTCATCTGTTCTCAGGCACTTGGGTTATTTCCAGATTCTGGCTGTTGTGAATAGTGCTGCAATGAACATAGGCATGCAGATAACTTTTCTGCTGTGTGTTTTGGGGCCACTGGGGTATATTCCCAGGAGCAATGCTTCAGCAGGGTTTTTACACTCTCTGCTCTCTACTTTTTTGTAGAATAATGGAGGTAGGCAGGCCCCACTCCAAAGAGTTGCTTTGGACACAGTAGTGAATGAGACAGACCATGGCATTGGATTAGAGTGTGTACGAAGCATTTGGTAAATGTATGCCAGTGTTCCCAGGAACCAAAAAGAAGGGAGTAATAAAGAAGATCGGAGACTCAGGTTTAAAAGTCAAAGGTAAAGTCAGAGAGATAGTACAGGGTAAATGCACGGACACCAACAGGTGTGACCCCAAAATTACAATAAAAATAAGTTTAAAAATCTCATAAATGGTTGGTGAACACCATAGCCTTGGATGAATTCTTTTCCATGGGGTTGCAATAGTCTAGGCTCAATCTTCCTGAGGATATAGACCCTTTCAGTGTTTTCTTTTAATTCTTTGTGTGAGTGAGTGTGTGTGTGTTTGTCTGTGTGTAAGTGGGGGGGGGGGAGAGAGAGAGAGAGAGAGAGAGAGAGAGAGAGAGACTCTGAATCCCAATCTGGAAGCTGAGTGGCTTCTTTAAGTATCTTAAACATTAAATAGTATCTAATTTAGAAAAGGTCCCTTATTTGTAAGTAGAGATCAAACCCAGGCCCCACTAGGTTCAAGCAATGCAGCAGTAAAAGAATTTACTTGGAGAATAAAAGGGTTTAGGTAAGAGCAAAACAAGTTTCTGTTGTTCAGGCTGGTGATGTGGAGGCCTCCAGAGAAAGAACCTGTCCAGCATTCTCAGGAACACTTGTTGTCTGTCTTTAGTCTGCTTAGGAGGGACCTTCCTGCTTTCCATAGGTGAGTTCATTCTGGGAGGTGGGTGAGCAGGAGACGTGCAGCCAGTTCCGGGAAGGGAGTGAGTAGTATAGAAACTGGGCTGAGCCCATCCTGTCAGTCTCTGGAGATGTATGTAAAATAATTTGAGGGCCGAGAGATATAGAGCACACGGCTGACTGAGGTTCGATCTCCAGCACCACATATGATCCCCTGAATCCCACCAGGAGTAAACCCCTGAGTACAGTCAGGTGTGCCCAGAAATGAATAAGAATAACAATAATACTTTGAGTCTATCCCAGGAAAGGAGTGTTGGGGCCAGTTCTATGAATCTGGCAGAGGGATTCGTGGCAAGTCAGCTCTGTGAGGTGGGGTGTCTAAGTGTGTTCTAGGAAATGAGCTGCAGGATGGAGTGCAGTGGGACATTCTGTCTCCTGGGCATAGCTGACTGTGTTAGCATGCCCAGCCTTTCAGATACAGGAATTAAGCGGGCATTTTCAGGGCTTTACGCTAGACCAAGAGTCTGAATTTTTGCAAGACAGCAGCAATACTACTTGAGCACTGATGAGGAGTACCTCCACTTCCCCCCCCCACAAAAATAGTCCCCTTGAAGCTCTTGCTTACAATGCATCTCCCTGAGGCCCCTCCACTGCCCCCACCTCCACCCTCTCCCTTTAATCCCAGAAAGCTATTATTCATGGGTCTGCAGGGGTACTGGCTTGGGTTCTGTTGTCTCTTCACTTTCATTGTGGTTGGTGAGATAGTAGGGCTTGGCACACCTGGTTGTGGTGCTTATACACTCCACGACGTAGTTCACCAGGGATCATACGCTCTATTATGGTGCCAACAGTCCCGAGGGCAGAACAGCCAAGAATATATCAGCCCTGTGAGGGGCAGCTGCAGGGGTGGAACTTATGGCTTCCCTCTTGTACCGAAGGTGCTTTGTGTTATGCTGTCATCCTAGGCAAGAAGCTCTGGAGTCCAGATCTTTTTAACTAAGAGTTGGAAAGGAGCTTTTAAAACTCCAGAGATGGCGGGGGCAGAACTGGCACGTCCTTCCTGCCCCGCCGAGACCACGAGTTACCCCCCACAAGCGCTCTCCGGCACGGCTATGCCCCAGAGGCACACAAACCAATCTCAGAACTATGCGGCTATTGGCAGAAATCCCTCCAGACTTAATTAGTAAAATATAAGAAATCCAAAATTGAGGCTATTGCGGCTGCATGACATCATATGCTCTTCATAACCGGCAATAGAAAACAAATTATTTCACGATGACTTTTCAGCAGGTCTGATTGTTGGGGGGAAATTCCAAATAATGATGATGCATCTTTTGTCGAAATAATATAATCAAAGTAGAGAGATAGTTAAGTGGAAATCATCTCCCTCACAGGCAGGGGGAAGGGTGGCATGGAGGGTATATTGGGGTTCTTGGGTGGTGGAAAATATACACTAGTGAAGGGATGGGTGTTTGATCATTGTATGACTGAGACTTAAACCCGAAAGCTTTATAACTGTTCTCACTGTGATACAATAAATACATTTTAAAAAATCCTATCCAGAGATGACACCAGCAGAAGGGTCAATGGAACATGTTCTGAGGAGCTCTATGTCAGCCCAGCTCTGGGGCTCCAGAGGCTCGTTTAGCTGGGTGGGCAAGTCCCACAGTGAAAAGGCTTTCTCTCCAGATGTCCAGTGTGAGATGTAGTTTCCCAGGTTACCCCATAAATTCAAGGTCAAATTCAACCCTCATGTGAGGGTTCCTTGGTTATAGCTGTGTCCACTGTGGAGGTCTCACCCTCATTTTCTGAACCCACTTTCCCTTGAATACCCCACCCTACGTTAAGCTAATCTGGTGTTCATAATTCCATTTTCACCAGAGTTGATACTGATCTCATTTGGATGCTCCCATCCTCTTCTAAAACCAGAACAAAACTTCCCGTCAATCAACACAAAATCCCCTCCAGGATGTGACGTCCCAGGAGAACTGTAACAGCTCTGGGTGAAGAAGGAAAATTTTTGCTTCTGAATCTCCTGCCTAATTATTGAGAGCTTGTGATTAATGTCCATGAACCTTCTCCCTAAATACACCCCACTGTGTCACATGCAAGCTTATGGCGCACAACACACTCACAAACACTCACAGAAGCAGTCAGCCACAAACACATACTCACACATGCACAAGTACTCCCACACATGTGAACATACACACATGCACTCACTCACGCTTGCATACCACCAACACAAACACACACACATGTACTTTTACGCTCAAACACACAAACACCCACACACAGAGTGCACACACATGTACTCACATATTCACACACATGCATACACATACACATACATACACACACTCATTCACACACAGCCAGCTGCTATGGTAGCCCATTGTTCTTTTTTTTAACATGGAGGAAAAGTTTATTTAATAATGATAATGCAAAACAAGGCTTTATATAATCTTATCCTGAAAATTATCTAATTTTTGTTACATTATGCAACATTTTCAGGGGCTAGAGCAACAGTACAGCAAGTAAGGAGCATACCTTGCACCTGGCCAACCCCGGTTTGGTCCCTGGCATCCCTTATGGTTCCCGAAGCACTGCCAGGAGTGATCACTGAGCGCAAATCCAGGGGTAGGTCCTTAGCATCACTGAGTGTGACTTCAAGACAAAACAAAACAAAGCAGAAACATACAGTGTCAGGGCATATAGTGTCAGGGTTCTAATTCGATCTATGCAAGGCAGGTCACATGGTCCTGTTCTTTTTGTTTGTTTGTTTGTTTTTTTAGTGAAACATCATGAGGTACAGTTGTAGACTTACAAACTTCCGTGCTTGGGTTTCAATTATACAATGATTGAGTACCCATCCCTCCACCAGTGCCCATTCTTCACCACC